GTAGGCCCGTACTAAATCGATGGTCGAAAAGACTCGTTTTCCTTCCAGTCGGAACGAGAAATCCTGAATGTGAGGGATCGGGTAGCTGTCTGGCACGGTGACACTGTTCAGGCGCCTGTAATCCCCACAGGGGCGCCATTCGCCAGGCTGCTTTTTCTTCACCAAGTGTAGCGGACTGGCCCAAGGACTTTTTGACGGTCGGCACCAACCTTGCTCCATCATGAATTGGAACTCCATTTTTGCCACTTTTAATTTGTCTGGCGACAGTCGTCGGGGAGTTTCAGCGATTGGAGGTCCCGAAGTGAAAATGTGATGGGCCGTATTCGTTCCAGGAATTGTGCCTGGTGGTCGAGGGCGTGTGATTTCGGGGAATTTCGCTAGCAACTCGTGGTACGGCGAAGTTTTGGCCACGGTTGAAATATTGGGTGGTGTGCACGGTGCAAGAATTCCTGATGTGGACAGCAGTGTCGATGCATCAATAAGTTTTCGATTGCGTAGATCGGGGAGCAAATGGTAATGGTTTAGAAAGTCCGCGCCGATAATGGGTTTGCTGACGTCTGCGATTATGAATACCCATTTCAGCGGTCTTCGCAGTTTCAAGTCGAGCAACATTAGCTTGCGGCCGTACGTCCGGATTTGGCTGTTGTTTGCTGCAAAAAGCATCGTTTCAGTGGGGCATGGACGTTGCTTACCTGAAAAGGCTTTTGGAACGACTGAAATCTCGGCTCCGGTGTCGATTAGGAATTGGATTCCGCTGCTCGGGTCCGTTACAAAAAGGCGATATTGCTGCTGTGTTGTACCGTCGTGCACCGCCTCGAGTGCCGACGGGGAAATCAGTTTCCCGAATAGTTGCAGGGCTGGTGGCACTTCCGGGCTTTTTCGCCGAATGTCTCATGGTAATAACATAACCCCTTATTCTCGTTGACACGTGTCCGGCTTCTCGAGTTCGAGCGGTGACGTCCGTAGCGGCCATATTTGTTTGTATTATAGCCGCGTCCTCTGTCGGTAACCAGGCGCTCTACTGTTGCCGTCAACGTCGCAATCTGCTTCTGCATGGCTTCCATAGGCGTGGTGCACTGCGTGGTGTTTTCGTCTCCAGTGGCGTTCGTCGTCCTTGTATTCGCTGCAGTCGTTACGGTGGCGATTGCTGCGTGTGGCGCGTTGCTGATGTGGATTTCCACCATCTTGTCTGCCAGCTCCGCAGTCTTTTCGAGTGTTAACCCCGTAGTTCCCGAGAGTACTAACTGTACGTTAGCTGGTAGCCGCTGCAGCCATAACGTCTTGAGGAAGTCATCCTGCATTTGGGTACCTGCGAGGGTTTTCATCTCCCGTAACAATTGCGAGGGCTTCCTATCTCCAAGCTCCAGTTCATTGAGTAGCTTCCGTATCTGGCGTTCTTGTGAGTCCGTATACGCCCGAATAAGCTTTTGCTTTATCGTCTCGTATTTGTTGCTCTCTGGGGGATTAGCGATGACGTCGGCGACGTGTTGCAGTACGCTAGAATCCAACGCCGCTACGACCGTGAAATACTTCGTAATGTCCGCCCTTATTCGGAGGCTGTGGAATTGCGCCTCCACCTGCGCGAACCACAGCTGAGGGTCTCGTTGCCAGAAAACGGGAAGTTTCGGGTTTCCGCTGTTACTCACGGTGTTCACTTCTACCTCGTTTGTTGTAGCTTTCGATTCCAGGGCGGCCTTAGCGTCTGCGAGTTCCTTTTCAAGTTGGGCGATTCGTTCAGCGTTCGTCATGATGTTGCTTGTCAATCGGTGTATGTTCTGTGTTGTTGCGTTTTCTTCTTTCGTCGAGGGTCACCAGTTGTGGATGTTTTTGGTATGGATTTATTTATGTACACATATTTACAACGAATGACATTTAAGCAACGTGGTTGTGTTGGAACTCTGCGGCGACGAGGAGCGCGGTGTTCTTGTGATCTTGCTGCTTCTGTGGACGATGGCGGAGAGAGCGAGTTGTGCTTCCATCAGGCCTTTTCTAGTCTCGCTTCTCGTTTTCGCTTCTGCGTGGTACGCCAGCCAATTAGCGGTGTTCTTTGCAGGCGTACGGTTGGTTGCCTATAGCGCAGGCAACTTGCTCGCCACAATAGTAAACATAACACACTTTTTGTTTTAAAAAGTCGTCGCAAACGGACAACAACGGTGGTTATGAAATAAATAATAAAAATGTATTATATATGATTCCGTTGTTGTGGTGAAATTAAATATAAAAATAATAAGAGACAAACTACACGTAACAAAAAATTATATAAGCAGACCTTCTCTCAATAAACAATTTTTTAATTCATCATGTATATATATATATTTTTTGACCTACACAATCTTGAGTTTTATTTTGAGACGTTGCTTAACCCATAAGCAGTCGCGCGTGGGTAAAAATGACCCAAGCCGTACATTTTGTCAAATATCCTTTTTCCCTTAATCCCTATGGACTTCCGGTTTCATGAATTCCTTAATTATTCTTACCTGCGTCGACCCATACCAATTACCTGCACTTTATGTGAGCCGACAAATATGCATTTTTTTTTTGTAATAATTTTTTCTAAATAAAGATTTTACTTTATATGATATTACGCTTACGGGTTAAGTTGTTAGGTAAAATGGGTTTGACTATATATGTATTAACAAGACGCCTTTGCCAAGACGCACTAGAAAACTGTTTTGGATGGATTAAGAAACAAAATGGAAATTCTATTAACCCCACATCTAATCAATTTCAAATGGATTTTAGAAAATTAATCATACAAGATTATTTTGATGAAACGAACACAGGTAATCAAAACTGCGAGCCTGATAATAGAAGAAATTTTAAAGTTAAACGTAGGGCGTCGTTTTGATGAAGAAGAATCAGTCACCACGATGCAGAAGACCACCTTAAAAGATTGTGATTATCACTTTCACACAGCTGAACAAAACGCAATTAGATATATCTGTGGGTCTGTGGCTACATAATTCGGAAATGTTTATTAGTACATAGTTGTAGTGAATGTGAAAAATATGCAAATGAACATAAAAGTTTAGACAACACAAGCATATATTCACATTTCAGAGCCTACCAAACGAAGAATTGCGAGTTATTTGGTAAATTATATATGCCAAACGATAATTTCTTTTTTTTACATTTGTGAATTAGAGCAAATTTTTAGTGAAAATTTTGAAAATATAATTTTACAAACAACTACTTTGTTGAAATTTTTAAATTTATATAAGCAAGCTACATTTGTTCATCCATGCCAAAACTTTCCATACGATTATTTGCTTGCTTTGTATGCTAGGATGAGATTATTTTATACACTAAAATTTGTAAATGCTAGCTTTAAATTTACAAATGCCAAAGGTGAAAAAATTAGTAGAAAGAAAATAATTTGGCAGCAATAACTTTTTTCCTTTTTGTAATTTAATTTTTATTTTATTTATTTTTTCTTAAATAAACCTCTTTCTTTTTAGATGAATTTATTACATTATTTTTACAATGATAATTAAACCTCAAGTATTCGGGGAAAGAATGTGCGAATTGTCAAATTGTATAAGTAATAAAATAAAAACTGAAACAAATCATCGTGTTTATAAATTAAATATCGACTTTTCTTTTTTCTTATTGCGATTCACGATTATACGATTTGAGCAAACTACACAGTTTGCAATAAATTGCGTACACGAATCAATTTTTGAAATTGTAAATGAAGTGATACTTTTTAAATTGGGTGGCGACATCTAGGAATAATTTAGGCAACGACCACCCATGACGGCTTAAAATTCGGGTCAGAAAGAGCAAAGGCGCCGACACGAGCTGTCTCTACTGATTGATATCTATACTGTGGTTTTATCATCCAAGTCGACCTTTCGGAGAGAAGTTAGGGTTATGTTCTTTCTTTAGTTATTGTTAAGTTCTGAATAAACTATTTTGTTACTCACTCTGCTTGATTATGAGTTTTATTTACGGAGCATTCGCACGCGCGTGCACTTATCTCAGTAGTACTAATTGACACGACTAACTATGCAGCAATTATGTATAGAATAATTCCAACTCGATTGGAATGGATTCGACTAGACTCAAATTCTCCTATATTTAAACAACCACGCGCCTCTTTCTGGATATTTCGCGATCGAGGTTGTTCTCGAATGTCCATCGCAACTTCCGCTTCCCACGTAAGCTAAAACGTAGACAACCAACTACAATTACAGAAAAATTCTTTTAGACTTCTCGCGTGTCCAGAAATATCTTATATAATTGTTGACGGATTAGGAGGTTTTGGCTTAGAATTGGCCGATTGGTTGTTTTTGAAAGGCGCAAGAAAATTCGTATTGTCATCTTCCTCGGGTTTAACAATAGGATGTTAGGCTTATCGAATTCGGTAAGGGAATTTATTACACACACAAAAATTTCTTTAAAATCGCAAAATGTACAGGAATTGGAGATCATATGGTGCTACTGTTCAGGTGTTTAGTCAAGATATAACGATCAAACAAAATTGTTTAGAATTAATTCGACAAGCCAAGAACTTAGGACCTATCGACGCTGTTTTCAATCTGGCTGTTGCACTAAAAGATGCACTTTTTTCTGATCAGACGGAAACGACTTTTGACACTGTGTTAAAACCCAAGGTTTTGATTACCCGGCAACTGGACGAGATTACGAGGGACGAATGCCCGGAACTTAGGTAGTACCTTTTTTACACACTAGAAAATTTCTATGAATGATGATACAACACGCCAGTGTCAGTTTTGTTGATTTTTTCTGAAGGAACGCTGTCCTGCAGACATTTTTAAAATCATTCTTTCCGCAGATATTTTGTCGTCTTTTCATCTCAAGCAGGTGCTCGCGGCAATCCTGGACAAACCAATTACGGAATGGCAAATTCCAGTATAGAAAGAATTTGTGAAAAACGCAAGGTGGAGGGATACCCAGCGCTAGCTATTCAGTGGAGGCTAATCGGAGGTGTATGTATTTTTGAGTGTGGAACATTTACAAAATGAGTATATTTCAAGGTGGGTATAATTGCAAATATGCAAAAAGGAAACACAGAGTTGTCCATCTCCGGAGCACAACAACAAAAAATATCAAATTGTCTAGAAGTTCTTGATAGATTTTTGCAACAAAGGCACCCTATAGTTTCCAGTTTTGTAATTTCCACAAAAAGAAGAAACGTGTCGAGTGTGGACGGTATAATCGATGTGGTCGCTGATATACTTGGTATCAAAAACATTAAGAATGTAGACCCTAACAGACTATTGACAGAACTAGAAATGGATTCGATGACAGCAACTGAAATTGTACAAAATTTAAAAGTAGATCTTCGAATTAACTTAACACCTGATCAGCTTCATAATTTAACCCTTAAAAAGTAACCCCCCCCCCCCAAGAAAAGGGAATTCAGTTAACTTTTTTTTGTAGGGTAACTGAAATGGAATTTGCCCAAAAAAACCTGAAATCCTGCGGCACAGAAAGAAATGTTCTCACCAATGTGAGTAAGGGGTCAGCTACTAACACTACGCTTACTTTGTCTTTACCCGAACGAAGTACTGCGATGACGAAAATTCTACCCAGTAATATCAAGGGCGATATTAACAAGAAAACGGTTTTCATTTTACCAAGTTTTGACGGATGTCTTCAAGCTTTCGAACCTTTGGCTAATAGAGTACCAGGTCGTGTGAGAGGCGTTCTTTACAACTTCAATAAGTACGAAGAAACAATAAACGATTGTGCTAGAACCATTTTACCTGTAAGCAAATAACATCAATTGTAGTGTTTTCTACATAAATAATTTTTTTGACAATTCTAGCACATTGAGGCACACATTTCAAAGAATGAGGCGTTTGTTATCATCGGTCACCTGTATGGTTCCATCGTTGGTCTGGAAATTGTAGCTTTATTAGAAGAAAAAGGATATGTAGGAAATTTTATATCAATCGAAGGATCTCCAATGTACATGCAGACCTGGCTGGAAACAAATTCTTTCCTCAGCGATCAAAACAAACTACAATTATTCATAATTTCGAATTTGTTAACAATATTGACAAAGGATGACGTTAAAATCTATATGGTAATTCTGTTTCGCAAATAGTTTAGCAACAACAATTTTTATTATTTTATTTTTCAAATTTTAGGAGAAAATTGCGCTTAACCTAAAACTGGATGAAAAACTTGAAACAGCAGCAAATTTTTTGCCAGTAGATATAGACAAGCAATATTTTAAGGACAGTGTCTACGTTATTTACAAACGATGCAGCGCTTTGATTGACTATAGATTTACTCACGACAAACTCATATCGAACGTGTACTTATGTAAAGCTAAACGACCTCTGGTCACTGGTCTAAAAGACGATTACTCTTTGTCACAATTATGCAAAGGTTTCGTACAAGCTGGCACCGTCGAAGAAGACTACTTGAAGATTATTTCCAATGAAAAATGTTTCGACTATTTAGAAAAATGGTTACACTGCTCTTGACAATCTAAACTTAGACAGACACAACATCAACCATAGCTTTTTTAATATTCACTAACTGAGTCTTCTTTTAAGGAACGCATGCCAGATCTGAACAAAATCTATGTATTTTTAAGACAATAATGATGATGATTGTTTTGTATTAGTTGATATAACACTACAATTAAAATTACTTCAGAACAAAAAAGGTATTTATGCAGAAGCTCCCTCTACAGATACTGCGTCACTTCTTTTTCGCTTATCACTTATCAGATAACGAAGGAAGACTTTTGGCTTTATGCTAATGGAAACCATGTCCAGACCACGTCAGTTCTGCCTTTCTACTATCTATACATCTATACCATCAAGAAATATTGAAAGATAACTTGATGTAAATAAACATGACAAAATAAGTGTTCGTATCTATGATAGTGAATTAAATTTCACTTTCTTCATTACTTGCAACATGATTAATAACTGGTAATAAAGCAATAATGACCCCATTTGTCAAACCGGACTGTAGTACTAAGCACTAATTTCAACACATTAATTAATTTTAAACAATTTATATGTTTATATAATACAATTATTTCTTTGTATGCAAATGCACCCAGTTTAGCACGTCTCAAGCAGGATGAGTTTTTTAGAGGTTGCTTAATGCATAGCCTTGCCGACCTTCATAGCAAAACCTTGATTATTTTTTCTACTTTTAATAACAAAATAATTATTAACAATTATGTCAAATCTTAACAACTTTTGTATAAATACCATTTGCAACATTAAAAAGTATTGACGTAGTACTTGGATCAATGTCTAAATGCCTTCGAGTTTTAGAACTCGGTATGAATCCAAACTGGTTTAAAAGTGACGCCACTGCCAATTTGGCCATTACCATACCAAATCTTAGACCTAAAATTGCAATCATATTATAGTAAAGTATTTTGAGACAGTGGTGGTACTGACCTATACAATTTCTAGGACCATCACCAAATGGTAAGTATGTATATGGTACTACATTATTGTCATTACTAAAGCGCTCTGGGTCAAATTTCAGTGGCTCTGGGTAGTATTCAGGGTCCCTTTGAAGACCCAAAAGAGAAATAATCACAGGGGTACCTTCCTCGATGACAACATCCGTTTCTGGAACTTTATATGGTTTAACACAAACTCGGTTAAGCATAGGGAGAGGTGGATACTTCCTCATTGTTTCTACAAAAGACAAAATTACTCATCGAGTTACCAATTATCAGATACTCACCCTTAAGAACTCTGTCTAAAGTTGGCAAAGCGATAAGATCTTCGTACGCATACTGACTAACATCCCGTCCTAAATGTTTGTGAATTTCGGCTCTTAGTTTGATTTGAAGCTCTTGGTTGTGAGCCAGTTCGTGAATGCAGTAACACATAGTCAAAGCCGATGTTTTAAAACCCGCAATAAAGAAGAGAAAAGATTGGGAAACTATCTCTTCAACCGGCATTCCTGCAGTGGTTCTTAGCTGCATCAACATGTGCAAGAAGTCGTTCCGCACTATATCATTTTGATCTCGATACTCTATCGTATCTTTCACCAAATTAGTAAAAAAGTCTTCAACGACCTTATCATTGTAAGCAATCTTTTCGATATTTCCCGGATTTTGCAGTCCCTCTTCTAGAGCAACTCGCAACAGTTTCCACACCGAGTGATTGGAAATTCTGTTCACCATTTGCGAAAATTCAGTACCGGGGTCGTTCAGACTATTGGAGTCGATTCCAAACGAGGTAGATCCAATAGTGTCGGCAGTGAATCTCATTAATATCTCTTTGATGTCAATGACTTGCCTTTTATCTGCGTAGGGTCCAACATAGGTCACAAGATTTTCGCAGTTGTGCACTATTATATTGTAAACGCTTTTCATCTTTCCCGAGGTGAAACTAGGTGACATTTTTGTTCTAATACTCTTCCACTCGTCACCTTTCATTGAGAAAATGTGCGAGCTGAGGGGTAGTTCCTCCCCATTTCCGTACATCCCCCTGTCGACAAAGTACTCGAAATCCGTCACCAGGATCCGTTTGACTAGATCAGGGTCTACAGGAAAATATATAGGCCCGTTAAAAAAATAAATCCCTGCATGTTTACACCCCTTGGCTTTGAAATGATTGTAGAGATTTTGCAGACGAGTATACACACTCTGCTTACCCCACGCCGACGAAGACAAATTTCCAAAGGGAAAGTACGGGGTGGTACATGGTACTTTTTTCTTCTTCCAGTACGTAAAACAGTATTGGTAGTACAAGTAGTACACCAGAACGGCAGCAGTCACGATAAACGATAACAATTCACTGATGGAACATTTCAAACCCGATATTAGCATTTTAAATTTGTGAAGGTTACTCGACGACTGTACACACTGTTATCTTGTGAGCCGCAACGCGAACCAGCTTCGTCGGGTCAGTGTATGTTGTAAAAATTGTTTATTACGGTTCGTTTTACACCGACCAGAGGTACCAACAAGCGGATAGTTTATTGTCGGTAAACTTGTTAGGTAATGGATAGTACACACACTCGTAATTAAAGGTCATTTTACGATCTGTTATTGAACTAATGGAACGCGATAAGGCACAATGTGAACATTTAACTTGATATGAGGTACTGTCGAGTAGCGGCCGCGTGTTTCACGAGATGTAATTGGGCGTGGGATAGAGAAAGCTATACAAAGAATAGTTTGGGTTAAATAGGTCAGAACAATAACCGATTTTAACGGTTCCTTGGAAATCTCGGGTTTATTAAATACTTATTTTTTTATTCGAAAATATGTGCATGTTTAGCTATTCTCGATTTGTATGACCGTTTTGTTTGTTAACACAATAAAGCAGTTCTAAAAATAACCCGTGAGACATTGGATAATTTCAGGTATTTGCAAGTGCGGACGTTTCAAAGCATTGTGTTATCAATTATCGGGAAAGACGGATTGATATGCACAAAATTTTGTTAAAATATGCACATAAAATGGAAAAATAGTTTGCACATATAGTGTTTTATACGTGGTTTAAAAAAAGGCTTTTAGAAAAACAGTCTTGGCCATTATTACCCGTTGGGGCCAATCTTATTAATAACCACCCCAATATGTCCAACATCAAAACAGGTGCTAAACTGGTTTAATAGTTTTTGAGAAAAATAATAAAGTTTTATGGGACAATTTTGAAGATGTTCCAAAAATCTGGACATGCAGGGTGTTAAAAATGATGTACTATGATAGGTGTAGACTCATGATATTAATATGTATAGTAATAGTATCAATAGTAATACTGATATAATAATGTCAACACTAATACAATTAGGTCTAAAATAAAATACTATGGCCTCAAAAATTTTTTTTCAAATCCTTACAAAAACAAAATACCTGGTGACTTCAAGATTCTTTTAACTTTTTTCTCAAAGAAAACACCAAGATTCTCAAGGCTCTTTTAAGTTTTTTAAAAAGTAAAGACCTTCAGATTTTTTAAAATTTTTGAAGTACAAAATACCGAAAGCCTCAAGATTCTTTCTAATTCTTTCTGAAACAAAACACTAGGATCATTTCAAGATTCTTTTATATTCTTTCAAAAACGGAAGTACCAGAGTCCCTGACATTCCTTTAAATTGTTGCAAAAAATAAAGATTCCAGGGACCCGAAGATTTTTCTCAAATAGAACACTTTGGACTCCCAAAATATGTTCAAAAACAAAATACCAGAGGCCTGAGGATTTTTCTAATTTGATATGAACCAACAAAATACTAGATCTATCAAGAATCTTTCAAATTCTTTTACAAATAAAGCACGTAGTAGAGTCCCCAACATTCCTTTAAATACTTGCAAACAATAAAAACTCTATAGGAACCCGAAGATCCTTTTATTTATTTTTTTTTCAAACAGGACACTTTGGGCTCCCAGGGTTCATTTAATTCTTAAAAAAATTAACACCCGGGACCTCAGATTCTTTGAAATTTTTTCGGAAACAAAATACCAAAAGCTCGAAGGTTCTTTCTTACTCTAGGAACCCGGAATTTTTTTCAATTTTTTTCTCAACATAACATTTTGGGCTTTCAAGATTTTTTAAAATTCTATAAGAAAATAAATACACTGGAGCTCAAAATCTTTTAAAACTTTTTCAAAATCAAAACAACAAAAATCCGAAAATTCTTTCTAATTCGTTCTGAAACAAAACACTAGAATCTCTCCAGATTCTTCTAAATTCTTTCAAAAACAATGTACCAAAGTCCCCAACATTCTTTTACATTTTCGCAGAAAATAAAAACTCAATAGGGATCCGAAGATTCTTTTAACTTCTTTCTGAAACGAAACTCTAATATTTTTTCCCAAACAAAGCACTTAGAACTCCAAAAATTATTTTCAATTTTTAAACAAAATAAACATTCGGGACTTCAACATTCTTAAAAATGTTGAATGAAAACCAAAACACTGGAAGCCCCAAGATTCTTTTAAATTTATTTGGAAACAAAACATTAAGGTCTTCTCAAGATTCTTGTTCTTTCAAAAACTAAACATTAGAGACTCCAACATTCTTTGTAAATCGCATTCTGAAGCAAAACACTAGAGGCCGTTAAGATTCTTTCAAATTCTTTCAAAAACAAAATACCAGAAGCCTAAAAATCTTTTTTAATTCGTTCTGAAACAAAACAGTAGGACAAAGTACCAAAATCCCCAATATTTTTTTTAAATTCTTACAAAACATAAAAACTCTACAGGAATGCCCAGATTCTTTTAATTTTTTTCCTAAACAAAAACTTGGGGCTTTTGCTTTTAATTCTTTAAAAACATAGACATTCGGGACTTCAAGATCCTTACATATTTTTTGAAAATCAAAACACCGGGAGCCCCAAGATTCTTTCTACTCGTTCTGAAACAACTAGGGATTTTTTCTAAAGCAAAGTACCGCAGCCTCGAATATTATTTTAAAATCTTGCAGAAAATAAAGACTCTATACGCACTTTTTCGTTTTTTTCTTTTTCTTCGATTTTATCACAATTTTTGTTTTTTCAGTTTCTTTATTTTCTTTAGTTTTTTGATTTTTTAGTTTCTCAATTTTCAAATTTTAATTTCTCAATTTTTCGATCCTTAAACTTTTCAAGTTCTTAACTTTTAATTTTCACATTTTTCGTTCCTGGAATATTTTGAATTGCAATTCTACAATTGTCCGATTTTTGGTTTTCCAATTTTTTAGTTTCGTAACTTTTAATTTTTCAAGTTCTTGGTTTTTTTTTTCAATTTACCAATTTTACAATTTTTTTTATTTTTCAACTTTTCAAGTTCTCAACTTATAATTTTTCAATTTTACAATTTTTCGATCACACTTTTTCATTTTTTCTTTTTCTTCGATTTATCATTTTTTGATTTCACAATTTTTCCGTTTTTCGTTTTCTTTATTTTTTTAATTTTTCTATATTTTTGCTTACCAATTTTCAAATTTCGATTTTCGAATTTTTCGATTCTTAAACTTTTCAAGTTCCTAACTTATAACTTTTCAATTTCTCGACTTCCAAATTTTTAAATTTTTCGTTCCTATTATTTCGAATTACATTTTTTCGATTGTACAATTTTCCGATGTTTCGTTTTTGGATTCTCTAATTTCTCACTTTTTAATTTTTCGAGTTCTTGGTTTTTATTTTTTTATTCGTCAATTTTACAATTTCTTGATTTCCCAATTTTTCAATTTTTTGAATCAATTTTTGAGGTTTTATCACACTTTTTCGTTTTTTCATTTTCTTCAGTTTTTTCAATTTTCCGAATTTCTTGTGTCCGAATTTTTAAATTTCGATGTTTCAATATTTTGATTCTTAAACTTTTCAAGGGCTCAACTTATAATTTTTCAATTTCTCAACTTCCAGTGTTTCAATTTTTTGTTCCTTTAATTTTTCCAAACGCAATTTTTCGATTTTACAATTTTCCGATTTTTCTTTTTTGGATTCTTTAGTTTCTCAGTTTTTAATTTTTCGAGTTCTTGGTTTTTATTTTTCAATTGGTCAATTTCTTGATTTTTCCATTTTTCGATTTTTCAATTTTTAAAGTTCTTAACTTATAATTTCTCAATTTTTCGATTTTACAATTTTTTGGTATCACATTTTTCATTTTTTCTTTTTCTTCGATTTTACCATATTTTTATTTTACAATTTTTCGTTTTTTATTTTCAAATTTCGATTTCTTAATTTTTCGACTCTTAAACTTTTCATATCCTAACTTATAATCTTTCAATTTTTTAACTTCTCGACTTCCAAATTTTTAAATTTTTCGTTCCTATAATATTTCGAATTGCATTTTTTCGTTTTTACAATTTTAAGATATTTCGTTCCTGGATTCTTCAATTTCTCAATTTTTAATTTTTCAAGTTCTTCGTTTTTATTTTTTAATTTGTCCATTTTACAATTTTCTGATTTTTCAATTTTTCGATTCAATTTTTCAGGTTTTGGCTTATAATTTTTCAACTTTTGGATTTTATAATTTTTTTAATTCCACAATTTTTCGTTTTTTCAATGTTCCGACTTTTTTGTTTCCCAATTTTCAAATTTCAATTTTTCAATTTCTCGACTTCCAAATTTTTCAATTTTTCGTTCCTTCAAGATTTCGAATTGCGATTTTTCGATTTTACAATTTTCCGATTTTTCGTTTTTCGATTCTTTAGTTTTTCAATTTTTATTTTTTTGCATTCTTGGTTTTTAATTTCCGATTTGATTTTACAATTTTTTGATTTTCAATTTCTCGATTTCTCAATTTTATATTTTTTTGATATTACCTACACCTTATAATTTTTCAGTTATTTTATATCATAATTTTTCGTGTTTTCCTTATTTTATTTTTCAATTTTTTAGTTTCTCGATTTTCAAATTTCGACTTTTTAATTTTTTCGATTCATTAACTTTTCAAGTTCTTAACTTATAATTTTTCAATGTTTGGATTTTACACTTTTTTGATACAATAATTTTTCGTTTTTCCATTTCTTCATTTTTCAATTTTTTGGATTTTTTAGTTTCTCAATTTTTAATGTTCGATTTTTAATTTTTCGTTTCAGGTTTTCGTTTGTAATTTTTTCATTTTGGAATTTTTCGATATCACAATTTTTCATTTTTCGAGTTTACTCTGATAAAACATGACCAGAAATAGTAACCACTATCATGTCGTGTTATTTGTTCAACTTTTGTCGTATTTAAAGAGGCTGTTGAAGAAAAGTGGCATCTTTAACTTGATTACCTACTACAAAAAATTTACCATTTTACACATGTTTTAAGTTTCTTGGTGTCGAAATAAGCCTATACATATAATAAAAAAAGGCAAAATGTAAATTCTTTTAATTTTCTTCTTAAACAAAAATTCTGTAAAAAATTGTATATTCAGACCTCAAGATCCTTAAACATTTTATGACTAGGAGCTCCAAGATTACCTATGCTTTTACTCGTTCTGAAACATTAGGGTCTCTCAAGATTCTTTCAAATTCTTCCAAAAATAAAGTACGACAGTCCCTAACATTCTTTTTAATTCTTGGAAAAAATTTGACTTTATAGGCTCTCGAAGATTCTTTTAATTTTTTTTATAAACACGACATTTAGTGCTCCCAAGATTCTATTAAATTCTTTAAAAAAATTGACGTTCACGACCTCAAGATCCTTACAAATTTTTGGAAACGAAAACATCTGGAGCCCCAAAATTCTTTTTAACTAGTTCTGAAACGAAACACTAGGATCTCTCAAGATTCTTTCAAATTCTTGCAAAAATAAAGAGTCTAGGGACTTGAAGATTATTTTAACTGTTCTCTCAAACACAACATTTAAGGCTCCAAAGATTTTTTAGGTTCTTCACACCACAGGCCTTCGATGCTTTCTCTATTTTGTATAGCTTTCAAAATTTCATTGAACTGTTACGATTTTCAGGAAACTTCGTTAGTTTTTATGTATATGTGGGTCCGCAGTGTCTGTTAAAAACTAGTCTTATAGATAGATGACAATGATGGTAAGTGTGAAGGAACTTTTTAATATTCATTGACATTGTGAGATCTGCTACACAATTTACTTTCCTAAAAAATATATTAAAGTTAATAACAACTTTTTTATAAAATAAAAAACTAGTGATAGTTACAAGATCAACAAAATTTGGATCAATAAATCTAAATTTCTGTGCCACAGTTTGTGCGATGTATCTTAAGTTGCATAACTGTGCCAGAGTGACAGTGAGTGCATCCGATGAATCATTTTCCCACTGACGTCAGTAACCTACGCACTCCCAATAAATTCCGGTCCATACTTCTACTGTCATTTCACCTTTTCTCCTCAACAAAACGCGCGGTATATTTCTGAAGTTGTAAGAATTCTCATCTCCGTCGAAGTACATTTCGATTTTTGTTTAAAAGAAAAAAATCCAATTTTGTTAGCGCCATCTATGCGACCCCCCGAGAGTGCGCATAGGCCGATAACCTCATCATCTCATGTGCCGGCAACGTCAATCGTGGAGAAAAGAAACGTAAATATGGTAGCCCCAAGTGTTTATCCGCAATTTTTGCTCCCCAACTCAAGAACTATTTGTGAAAATGTCTAAACAAGTAAAACGGAAAATAACCGTGAACCTGACTCCGAAAAGCAAAGAAATATCGAAGCCTCGGCCCAGTGTGTTCGAGCGTTTAGGCACGAAAGCCAGCACAACTCAACAGAAAGATTTTTGCCATCATTGGGCTCAAAACGGCACATGCCCGTACGGAAAAGGTTGTAAGTATTCGTCTACACATACATTAATCAGTCCGTCAAAGCAGAGGGCCGCCAAGAGCCAGTCCGAATCCAAGCGGAGGAAGGAAAATGCTCATAAGCGAATACACGCAGGTAAACAACATAGATTGTAGAAGTTTGATTGATGAAAAGCTGTCGTATGTAGTGTTATCACGTCCGTGAAGTTAGTAGGTTTGGTAACTTCATTCATGAACGCATCAAAAATGAAGTTAATATCATACAAGTATTAGCTGGCTGTGAAATGCAATTTTTCCTTTATGACTATAGTTTGTCACTAAAACGAGTGGCTTTAAACACCGATAGGTTTGTAAATAACTACATTAATTAAATAATTGACGCCCTGTGTTCATTTGATGAACCATAGCTTTACATAACCTAACAATTTTGTGCTTAATGACAGTATATGTCATGATATATAGGTATATTTAAAAATAATGATGTTGGCAACACCAACAGCGTTCTTCGTTCAGTGTTACAGTTTTTGTCCACTAAAGTGACCCCTAGAGTATGAAAAAGTAAGTCTTCCGTTTCCCTCTGTCTGTGGTCTGTTTTCGATTTCATTAGTCATACAATGTCCAAAACTATTGGATTGGTTGTTGGCAAATGTTATGTGTATTTTAGTAGTATTGTGTAGATGGTAAAAAGCTAATCAAAATCTGTCTGCTCACCCCCACCAATAGTTTTGATAGCGTCATCTAAAAATTTTACACGGTAAATGTAAAAATATGTAGGTAAATTATATAAAATAACTTACTTTTATACTTGTGGTTTATGAATTTGCCATTATTTTTTACATAATATACTCCTGCACTTGTGGTAATGAATTCGTGTTGAGTTTTCACCGTGGACATGTAGATTTTTCTAAAAATTTTGCCGAATAAATCTTTTTAAAATATGCAAAATATTATATATACATTGATTTATCAATGCACTTATAGTTTTTAAAATTACTTATTTAGGACTCGCTCCATTTTCCCGAAAATTTGGGAATGCAGTACTGATATTAGTGTTACACTGCATGTATCCAAGTTGATATATTTCCTTGATGATGTCATAATATTATTTTGTGATGGAACAACTCACTCGTTTGATTTTCCATTTTTTGATTTCTCGATCTTTCAGTTTTTCGATGTTCAGTTTTTTCGAAATAATTATGGGTTTTTTCGTTTTTGGAATTTTCGGTTTTTCGATTTTTCGATGATTCAATTTTTCGAGTTCTCCAAATCTACTTTTCCCGATTTTTCAATATCTCGATTTTTTCATTTCTCAGTTTCTCAAATTTTTGATTTTCCTTTTTTTGATTTCTCGATTTACAATATATTGATTTGTTGAGTTTTCGTTTTGATTTTTCGATTTTTCAGTTTTTCATTTTTTTACATTATTGTAATTTTCGATTCTTTAGACTTCTCAGTTCTCGATTTTTCAATTTCTCGTTGTTTGGTTTTAGTTTTTTCTGTTTATCGGTTTTTCGATTTCTCGACATTTTGAATTTTCATTTTTTTTATTTTTCAGTTTTTCGATGTTCAGATTTTTCGAAATAATTATGGGTTTTTTCGTTTTTGGAATTTTCGGTTTTTCGATTTTTCGATGATTCAATTTTTCGAGTTCTCCAAATCTACTTTTCCAGATTTTTCAATATCTCGATTTTTTCATTTCTCAGTTTCTCAAATTTTTGATTTTCCTTTTTTTGATTTCTCGATTTACAATATATTGATTTGTTGAGTTTTCGTTTTGATTTTTCGATTTTTCAGTTTTTCATTTTTTTACATTATTGTAATTTTCGATTCTTTAGACTTCTCAGTTCTCGATTTTTCAATTTCTCGTTGTTTGGTTTTAGTTTTTTCTGTTTATCGGTTTTTCGATTTCTCGACATTTTGAATTTTCATTTTTTTTATTTTTCAGTTTTCCGAGTTCGTAATTTCTCGATTATCGATTTTTAGACTTTTAGAATTATTGTTTTAATTTTTCAATTTTTGGTATTTTCAATTTTTCGATTGCCCGATTTTTCAGTTTATCGATGCTCAGTTTTTTCGATATATGTAATTATCGGTTTTTTCGTTTTTTGGAATTTTCGGTTTTTTGACGATTCAATTTTTCAAGTTCTCGAAATCTACTTTTCTCGATTTTTCCACTTCTCAGTTTTTTAAATTTCTGATTTCTCGATTTTCAATCTATTGATTTCTGAAATTTTCATTTTGATTTTTCGATTTTTCAGTTTTTGATTTTTTTCCATTATTGTAATTTTCGATTCTTCGACTGCCCAGTTCTCGATTTTTCAATTTTTCGTTGTTTCGTTTTAGTTTCTTCTGTTTATCAATTTTTTGATTTCTCGACATCTTGAATTTTCATTTTTGTCATTTTTAGTTTTTCCAGTTCGCAATTTCCCGATTATCGATTTTTAGACTTTTCGAATTTTTGTATAGAGTTTTCAGATTTTCGATTTTTGGTATTTCCAATTTCTCAAATTTTTCATTCTGCATTTTTTGAATTCTTCACGTTTAGTTTTTCGATATATCGGTTTTTCGATATTTGGAATTCTCAATTTTTCGATTTTTCTGTTCTTCGGTTGTCTCGACTGAAAAAAATGAAAATTCCATATTTCGACTTCTCGATTTCCTGGTTTCTTAAATTTTTGATTCTACATTTTTTGATTTATCTTTTTCTAATTTCGTGATTTCTTGAATTTTCATTTTGATTTTTCGATCTCTCAGTTTTTCGGTTTTTTCCATTATTCGAATTTTCGAATTCCCAGTTCTCGATTTTTCAATTTTTCGATTTCCTGATGTTTTTAATTTTAATTTTTTTTATTTTTCAATTTTCCGAGTTCGCGATTTATCGATTATCGATTTTTAGACTTCTTGAATTTTTGTTTTGATTTTTAAAATTTTCGTGTTTTGGTATTCTCACTTTTCCGCTTTTCCCATTGTTTGATTTTTCAAAATCTCGATTTCCCAATTTCTCAAATTTTTGATTCTGCATTTTTTGATTTCTCGATTTTTCAGTTTTTTCATGTTTAGTTTTTTCGATATATCGGTTTTTTCGTTTTTTCGATTTTTTGAATTCTCAATTTTTCGCTTTTTCGATGTTTGAATTTTTTGAGTTCTCGAAGTCTAGTTTTCTCGATTTTCCAATATTTCGACTTCTCATTTCCCGGTTTCTCAAATTTTTGATTCTGCATTTTTTGATTTCTCTATTTTTAATTTCTTGGTATCTCGAATTTTCATTTTGATTTTTCGATTTCTCAGTTTTTGTTTTTTTTTCTATTCGAATTTTCGAGGTCTCACTTCTAGATTTTTCGATTTCCCGATGTTTTGAATTTTCATTTTTTTTATTTTTCAATTTTCCTAGTTCGCGATTTCTCGATTATCGATTTTTAGACTTCTCGAATTTTTGTTTTGATTTTTCGAATTTTCGTATTTTGGTATTCTTAATTTTCTGCTTTTTTCATTGTTTGATTTTTCAAAATTTCGATTTCCCAATTTCTCAAATTTTTGATTCTGCATTTTTTGATTTCTCTTTTTTTAATTTCTTGATTTTTTTAAATTTTCATTTTGATTTTTCGATTCCTGTTCATCGATTTTTCAATTTTTCATTGTTTAGTTTTTCATTTGATTAATTTTTTCGATTTCCCGATGTTTTGAATTTTCATTTTTTTGATTTTTCAATTTTCCGAATTTCTCGATTATCGATTTTTAGACTTTTCGAATTTTACTTTTGATTTTTCGAATTTTCGAGTTTTGACATTCTCAATATTCTGTTTTTTCGGTTTTTCAATTTCTCGATTTCCCAATTTCTCAAATTTTTGGTTCTACATTTTTTGATTTCTCTTTTTTTAATTTCTTGGTATCTTGAATTTTCATTTTGATTTTTTGGATTTGTCAGTTTTTTATTTTTTTCCATTATTGGATTTTTCGAATTTTCAAGTTCTCAGTCCTCGGTTTTTCAATTTTTCGTTTATTAGTTTTTTTCTATTTATTATAGATGTTTCAATTTCTCGATGTTTTGAATTGTTTAATATTTCGACTTCTTGATTTTCCGGTTTTTCAAACTTTTGATTCTACATTTTTTTATTTATATTTTTCTAATTTCGTGATTTCTTGAATTTTCTTTTTTATTTTTCGAGTTCCCAGTTCTCGATTTTTCAATTTTTCGTTCGATTTCCTGATGTTTTGAATATTCATTTCTTTTATTTTTCAATTTTCCTAGTTCGCGATTCCTCGATTATCGATTTTTAGACTTCTTGAATTTTTGTTTTGATTTTTCGAATTTTCGTGTTTTGGTATTCCCAATTTTCCGTTTTTTCCATTGTTTGATTTTTCAAGATCTCGATTTTCACTTTCTCAATTTTTCGATGTTTAGTTTTTTCGATTTTTGGAATTCTCAATTTTTCGGTTTTTCGATGTTTGATTTTTTTAAATTCTCGAAGTCTAGTTTTCTCGATTTTTCAATATTTAGACTTCTCATTTCCCGGTTTCTCAAATTTTTGATTCTGCATTTTTTGATTTCTCTTTTTTAATTTCTAGATTTTTTGAAATTCATTTTGATTTTTCAATTTCTCGATTTCCCAATTTCTCAAATTTTTGGTTCTGCATTTTTTGATTTCTCTTTTTTTTAATTTCTTGTTATCTTGAATTTTCATTTTGGTTTTTCGATTTCTCAGTTTTTGTTTTTTTTTTCTTCGAATTTTCGGGGTTTCACTTCTCGATTTTTCAATTTTTCGATTTCCCGATGTTTTGAATTTTAATTTTTTTATCTGTCAATTTTCCGAGTTCGCGATTTCTTTTTTTAGACTTCTCGAATTTTTGTTTTGATTTTTCGAATTTTCGTGTTTTTGTATTCTCAGTTTTCCGTTTTTTCTATTGTTGGATTTTTCAAAATCTCGATTTCCCAATTTCTCAAATTTTTGATTCTGCATCTTTTGATTTCTCGATTTTCACTTTCTCAATTTTTCGATGTTTAGTTTTTTCGATATATTGGTTTTTTCGATTTGTGAATTCCACAAATTTTTCGATTTTTCGATGTTTAAGTTTTTCGAGTTCTCGAAATCTAATCCTGATTTTTCAATATTTCGACTTTTCGACTTCCGGATTTCTCAAATTTTTAATTTCGCATTTTTAATTTCTCGATATCTTGAATTTTCATTTTGATTTTTCGATTTTTCAATTTTCTTCCAATATTCGAATTTTCGAGTTTCCAGTTCTCGATTTTTCAATTTTTCGTTTAGTGTTCGCTATTTATTGTTTTTTTTTATTTCCAAATGTTTTGAATTTCATTTTTTTTTTGTTTTTTTTTTTTTGATTTTTCGAATTTTTGTTTTGAATTTTCGAAGTTTCGATTTTTGTTATTCTTAATTTTATAATTTTGTTTTTTCGATTGTGCATTCTTTGATTTCTCGATTTTCACTTTCTTGTTTTTTCAGTTTTTCGATGTTCAGTTTTTTAGTTTTTTAGATTTTTGAAATTTTCGGTTTTTCGATGTTTGAAATTTTCGGTTTTTCGAAATCTAGTTTTCTCGATTTTTCAATATTTCTGTTTCCTGATTTTGTAGTTTTTTGAATTTTCATTTTTGTTTTTCGATTTCTCAGTTTTTCGTTTTTTTTCCATTATTCAATTTTTCGACTTTTCGATTTCTCGATGTTCTGAATTTTAATTTTTCAATTTTCCGAGTTAACAATTTCTCAATTGTCGATATTTAGACTTTTTGAATTTTTGTTTTGATTATTTCAATTTCTCGATTTCCCAATTTTTCAAATTTTTGAGTCTGCATTTTTTGATTCGCAATTTTTCATTTTTTTATTGCTCGAATTTTCGATATTTTGGTTTTGAATTTTTTTATTTTTTCATTTTTAGTTCTTCGTTATTCGTAAATGAGTTTTAAATTGTATAAAATACAATGTCCTACACGTGTAGTTTATCAATCCGTGTTGAGCTTTTACCCAAAACGTCCAGAAAAAAAATCAAAATTATATAACAATATTTTGCAGTTTAATTTTGAATCTGCAAAAGCGAATGCTTTGAAATTTTGCAGATGTTTTAAAGTTATCATAAGCATGGTAAATTTTTAATCAAAACATATTTGCCGAATGAATCCTATCTAAAATGTGCAAAATATGCTCATTTGCTTATACAGGTGACTCAAAAAATTTATGAATGAGTCAATTTATTCTATTGTTTAAATCAGGAACGGCTCACTTCATTTTCTCGAAAATTTGGAAATACAATACTGTTATTATTAGTATTAGCCTGCACCATTCCAGGTTGATATACGTGTCCTTGCAAAAATATTGATGACGTCATTATAAAATTTTGTAAAGTAAAACTCATTTGAAACATGCGCTAAGCACGCTTCTTTACATTTACTTTAACTTACAGGAGTTCTCATAAAAAATAAATAAAAATGCTGGATATGTGTCATTGTACTTCAGGGGCTAGGGAAGTTCTGTCGAAACAAACTTCGACTAATTTTTTTATTAATCTTATTTCACAGCAGTCGTTATCAATATCCAATTTTCACTGCTGTAAATAATATTTTTCAGATTACAATGTTTGCCAGTCACAGTTGCTCCTGTGATAACGCATTATTGATACGACTGGTTTAGAGAAAAAACTGTTTTTGTGGAAACGATATCACTCTCGAGATATTTTCTTACAATAATAAAATATAACCACATTCTAAAGACGCCAAAAAATCCAACAAAAACCCATGTTTTATTATTTAGTTCGTTTTTAAGATCGCGTAAACTATAAACCAATTTTAAATTATTTCCCTCACATAGGTAATGCTGAGGAAGACTGGGACCAGTGGGATCCAGAAGAATTAGCCGACGCCGACCCTGATGATCTAGAGAAGCGCAGACAGGAGATTCAAAGAGAACTAGAGTTACAAATGAAAATGGAGAACAAAGCCCGAAAAAAGGACAAGAAAACCAAGAAGGAGAGCAGTCCCTCGACCGAAAGCTCGTCGACATCGTCGGACTCGAGCTCGTCCAGCGACGATTCCAGTTCCAGCAGCTCTTCGTCCACGGAGACTCGCCGCAAGAAGAGCAAGAAGACCAAATCAAAACGGGAAACCTCTTCGTCTTCAGACGAAAGACCGCCGAAGAAGAAAGCGAAAACCAAGAGAACGTCCTCGAAATCGTCAACGCGCGGGGACAAATCCAAAAAGAGCAGTTCGAAGACGAAACCCACCACGAAATCGCCTACACCTCCCAGAAACCGAAAACAGTCGCAGACGCCGCCTCCGAAGATAAAGCCCGGAGTGCCGTCCTCGAAGAACGTGGAATCGAAGTCACCGAGGCCTACGAGCAGATCGAGTGATAGGAAGGAGAAGCATCACACGCCGTCGCCTAAGCCGAAGGAAAAGGAGAGGGAGAAGGAAAAGGAAAAGGAGCGGGAGAAGGAGAAGGAGCGCGAGAGGGAGAAGGAACGGGAGAAGGAGAGGGAGCGCGAGAAGGAACGCGAAAGGGAGAGGGAGAAGGAGAGGAATAAGGAGAGGGCGAAAGAGAAGGAGAAGGAACGGGAGAAGGATAAAGACCACAAGAAGAAGGAATCGAGGTCGCCGAAGAGGGAGAGCAGATCTACGAAGGATAGTAAAAGGAGGGATACGCCGGATTCTTCACACTCGAGAGACAGGAAGTCATCGCCTAGTCGGTCCAAGGGCAGCGGGAGCAGCAGCAGTAGACGAGACAATCACAAGAGTCCGCCACCCAAGGAGGAGCGAAGTCGGGACAAAAAAGATGACAAGGATAGGTAAGAGTCATTATTATTTGAATTTTTAAATCGGGACACCACAACGATAAATTTGTGCTTCCAGGTCCCGCGCAAAAGACCGCCCCAGCGACGACAAATCCCGCAAAGACAAGCGCGATTCGCGCGATCGCGACCGCGAGAGGGAGCGCGAACGCGAGCGCCGCCTAGCGCGCGAAGAACGCGAAGCCGCTCGCGAAAAAGAGCGCGAAGAAGCGTTGGCCCGCTGCCAAGAGCGACAAAGAGAACGCGAACGCCTCAAGGAGCTCGCGAAGAAGGAAGAGGAGAGGAGCCGAGGCAGAGACCGCAGCCGGCGCGAAGACCGAGGACTAGACAAACCTTCCGGGGACAGAGTGGAGCGGTTGCTTCCGCTTCCCGAAGACCGAATCCCGCCTAGTCGCAAACACTCGAGCGACAGGGAGAGGAGCGATCGACGGGAGCGCGACCGACGAGAAAGAACCCCCGAGAGACGAAAGTCGGTGGAGAGAAGGGACGAGAAGGACCGAGGTTATGATCGAAGTTATGATAGATCGAGCGACCGGAACTACGAGCGGGAGTCGCGTGACCATGATCGGGATCGCGAAAGGGATTATAGCAGGATTAGGGAGACGGAGAGGAGGATCGAGGATAAGGAGTATGATAGTCCGTATGATCGAGCGAGGCATGAAGAGAGGAGGTACTTGGAGATGGAGGATCATTATAATGATAATTCACGGGAGGAGAGGTTGCCTTTGGAGCGGGAATACACGGATGATAGGAGGAGCAGGAGGGATTTGTGGGACGCGAGGGACGACAGGGACTTGGATTTGGAGCATAGGAGGTACGCGAGGGAGGATTCGAGGCCGCCGCCGTCGTTGAAAGGAAGGGACTGGGAGACGGACTATCCGGATCACGACTGGGATAGGGCGAGGAGACCGATTGACTGGGAGGGGAGAGAGAATTGGGACGCGACGGAACACAAGCATCTGACCGAGGAGGATTGGAGGTTGTATAATTGGTCGGCGGAGGACAGGAGGAGGTGGCCGGCGGATTGGAGAGAGAGGGAGAGATCGAGACCGAGGAGTTCGACGTCTCACAACAGAGATGGTAAGTATAATAAGTGAGAGAGGTTGTTTCATAATTATAGTTCAGAGGTAACTTCGGACCTACAACGTTTTTAGATCCTATTTTAATACAACTTTATTCCGATTTATTAAAGTTTTCTTAAATTCTGAATGAACAAAATAAGTCTTGAAAAAGACTGGTTACAGAAAATATGTACAGGAAACTGAAAGCAAGTACGACTACACGAAGGCACAAGCATGGAGTTAGGGATCATACTTTAGATAAATTAAGAACAAGACTAAACTCCAGAGAAAAACCATCTCTTGATGGGCTGTAAATGTTATTTTTTGTGTCCATACAGATGAAACCATGTCTGAAAGTCGAAGGAAAGAACCGTCAAGACAAGACCCCCGATCCGATCGATCCGACTCAAAAACCTCAATGCCCGAAGTCGAAGTGAAAAAAGAAGTTGTTCCGCCAAAAAGACCAGCCGAAGAACCTCTTGAGAGTCCAGTTGAAGCGAAAAAACCTTACGTTATAGAACCAGTACTGGAAGATGATCTAAGCGAAATTAGTGACGATGCAGATGATATTTTGAACCGGGACGAGGTAAGGGCTTTAATTTAATTTAGACTAACCAAATTTATATGCTATAACTTGAATGTTAGGAGATCAACGAACCGGCTCCTGAAGAAACACCAGTCCCCGAACAAGCCGAAACGTCTTCAATCAAAGAACAACAAAATTCATCAGCTTCTCAGAAATCTCAGTCACCAAGTCGTTCGCCGAATCGCATACCCAAAGACGAATCCATCGACGAAGACAACATGGATCTAGATTTTGAAGAAATATCAGAAGATGAGCTAGAGGAAGAATCCCGTGTGAAAGGCATTGGGGATGCCTTAGGCGTAGACTGGGCAAGTCTAGTAGCCGAATCTCGACCAAGAATCAAACCAATGACGTCGGCAAAAAGGCGCTGGGAAAGCCACAACGTCCTCGTCAACCTAGGCATATCAGTCGAACTCGCCGGCGAAGACTTAGTCAAGGACGTTTTGAAAGAGCACGCCGAAGCGAAACTGAAGGAACAAAACGAAGAAAAGGGCAAAAACGAACCGGAAGAAGCGACCGTCAACGGAATCAAAGAAGAAAACGACGAAAAAATAACGGTTAATATTTCGCACCCAATCGGGGCGATCCAGGTCGCGAATCGGGAAAAACAGGCCGTGAGAAAAGCGCTGTTTTCGAACGTGGGACCAAACTGTCGGGCTTTATCGGCCAGACGCGATCTAATGATTCGGAGACATTTGTGCAATTTGCCTTTGAGGGATACTTACGTGGAAGCGCCGAAAAGGCACGATCCCGAACTACTGAAGCTCGCTGTGCAGATGTTCGAGCGGTGTTTATAGCGTTAAGTGTGGATAGTTGAATTTCGACTTTTAGTGTTTGGTTTTTGGTATTTGTATAAATTGAGGACAATAATTGGGACAGAAATTTTAAATTTATTAATGAACAATAAAATTTATTATTGCAGTATTTGTAGTTCTTGTTCGACGCAGATGTTCTTGGTGAGCAAGTGGGACAAGTTGGACTCAAGTGGGATTTCTTGAGGAGGTTTGCCCCTGAAACATAAAATTTATGTCACACTGAAAAGTTGCGGGTTGTTGCAGCGTGTCCATTTTTTTTTTATTAATTAGGGTGTAAATTATACACACCTCAAAAAAAGACGGGCGTTAGCAATTCCCTTCAAGATTGCCACATCACCATCTACATGAAGTGTACATCCTTCCCTTAACCCCAGAACATGATGAACTGGATATTCAGGTGGCAGTTCATGATATTGCAAAATCCTTTCCTCTCTGGTTTCCCCTTTGTGTTTAGACGTACTATCTGGGTCCAGATAATGAGGATTTATATTGAAAGGGATCAAATTCAAGGCACTAAAGCTTTGAGGGTACACTATTGGCATATCATTCGTATTGTGAATAGTAGGGGCAGCTACATTAGTCCCCGCACTGCTACCAATATATGGAATACCACCCTTAAGCACCCTTTCACGAATCAAATTGACCACTTGCTTATCATACAAGGTTTTCAGGAGGAGGAACGTGTTTCCGCCCCCCACAAAAATTGCCTCTGCTTTTTTTACAGCTTCAATTGGGTTGTTGTTGTGTATGCCTTCCACTTGATACCCTGAAACACAAGAGGTAATAAACTAGTACCACGGGGTTCACCTATTATTTAGTTACCCCACTTATTAAACACAGGGGTAACTTTTTTCAGGTAAGCGTCATGGTCCACAGCAGCGTATGGTACAAATAGAACAGTTGAAACACCACTTCTGCAAGTTTTTCTTTAGTGATAAATTAATACAATGGGTTCAATTTTACTTATTTAGAAAATTCTTAATGTCAGACGCTGCATATTCCAAAAATTCATACCCATGCACTTTGGATGAAGACAACAGTAAAAGATGAGGTTTCGACATTGGAATGAAACGGATTTTAGGAAATTCTTCGTATATACTGAAAACTATACTAAGTGATTGTGTTATCAATCTTATCACTATTTACCAAGGCGATTTTCTGCGCTTTTTGATAACCAAGTGTTTTATTGATATAATTTTTCTACAAAAGAGGTATAAATCATTAGCGATAAGCTTAATCTGCTGGTTATTTGGAACACGTAATATTACTTTCACAAAAACTTACTTCTTTGAGGTTATGTAAACAGGAGTCTTACATTTACACCTATTCACGTTTCTTGTTATCACATGTTGCAACGGATGTAATTTTGTGAAATTTTGAACCAATATATGGAATAATTGTTTCATCAGATTTTGTTACATGCTCGAAAATTTATAGAAGGTTTAAAAAATACCGCCACGAAGTTGTCAAATGCGTCAACATAGGAGCCAACAGTGTGACGAAAATGTCTCTAAATTTAATAATTTGGTTTATTAAAAAAATGCAACAATACTTGATATATTTTAAATTGGGCGAACATGAACAACTCGTACAGTAGTTGAGCACCAGTTTTAATATTTTTTTGTAATTGCTAATCCTAATAAAAACAACAAGGTTTATTAGTAACAGTTGGTAGCACTTGTCGACTGGGTGTCATTCCGTGCTATTCTAACCTCTAATAAAAGTTGTATTAAACTAACCTCAAAAATAAGAAAAATGCCCATTTCTAATGGCCCCTCTAGTCCAATGGAAATCATTTTCGTACGTATTTTCAACAACACGCAGTTATCATACTGAACACGATTTTTGTAGACTGACGACGACCTCCCATACGAAGAAGAAATTCTTCGAAACCCCTACTCCGTAAAACACTGGCTTCGCTACATCGACCACAAAAAAAAGGCCCCAAAATATGGCGTCAACATCATCTACGAACGAGCATTGAAGGAGCTCCCCGGCTCCTACAAATTATGGTACAATTATCTACGAACCCGTCGCCTCCAAGTAAAAAGCCGTTGCATCACAGACCCAGCGTTCGAAGACGTGAATAACGCCTTCGAACGATCCTTAGTGTTCATGCACAAAATGCCTCGAATCTGGATGGACTACTGCAGTTTTTTGACCGACCAGTGCAAAATAACCAGAACCCGCAAAGTCTTTGATCGCGCCCTCAGAGCCCTGCCAGTGACCCAGCACCACCGAATCTGGCCCCTGTACCTCAAATTCATCCGAAAGCACGACATCCAAGAAACCGCCATCCGAGTCTTCCGCAGATACCTAAAGTTGTGTCCTGAAAACGCTGAAGAGTACGTTGAATACTTATCAGAAGTGGGGCGTCTAGACGAAGCCGCTATTGTTCTTGCCAAGATCGTGAATGACGAGAATTTTGTGTCTCAACACGGAAAATCTAAACATCAGTTATGGAACGAGTTGTGCGAGCTAATTTCGAAAAATCCGGAAGAGGTGCGTTCGCTGAATGTTGACGCGATTATTCGCGGGGGTTTGAGGCGGTATACGGATCAGTTGGGGCACTTGTGGAATTCTTTGGCGACGTATTATGTGAGGAGCGGGCTTTTCGAGAGGGCGCGCGATATTTATGAGGAGGCGATTCAGACGGTGACGACGGTGCGCGATTTTACGCAGGTGTTTGATGCGTATGCACAGTTTGAGGAGCTGACTTTGAGTAAGCGTATGGAGGAGGTGGCGAAGTTGCCGAATCCTAATGAAGATGATGATATTGAGTTGGAGTTGAGGTTGGCGAGGTTTGAGAATTTGATGGAGAGGAGGTTGTTGCTTTTGAATTCGGTTTTGTTGAGGCAGAATCCGCACAATGTGCAGGAGTGGCATAAACGGGTACAGCTGTATGAAGGTAAAATAATTTTTAACTTTTTTAATTCAACAGGTTACAACTTGTTTAATTTTACGTCTGACGTCTCATTTCTTCAAACAACGACGAACTCGAATTCAATATTAGTTTTGTATTTCCGTGATTTTCAAATTTCAATTTACCAAAGTTACAAAGTCATAAAATATAAGCGAAACTACTGGACTGATTGTTACGAAATTTTAGCTATATTTCAGAAATATCTTATAAATGGTAAAACGCCAATCACGATTTGTCTGATCATCCCCACCAACAATGTTCTAACGTCATCTCAGAATTTTGCAAAGTAATTGCTACTGCAGTTTTATATAATAACATGTTTCTGTATACAGGTGTCTCTTTTTTTGGTGCAACTCCTGTAACTTTTTTATTCTTAAACCTGTAGTTCTTGGAGCAAATTTGTATCATTTTAAAAGATCTATGTGATGGCAACCCAACATTTTTATTATTACTAGAGAGCGGATTTTATGAAATTTGCATATCCTTTATTTTTTGCATATAAGTCTTGATATTTAATATGTGAATGAATCATGCTAATTAAAAATGAATACAGCTATAAAAAAATTGCATATTTGCATATATTTGCCTTCTGCTGCATATTTCTCGTAACGGGTGCATATTTTGCATTTTTATCGATTTTTGTGCTAATTTGAAAAAAAAAATGATTGTCATTCAATTGGCATTTATCTAGAAAGACGAAATTTCATTAATCATATTGCAAATATTGTCCTGAGTTTCAAATAACTAGGAAAGGTCTGGGTTTTATGGTAGTTTGGAGAAACCACTGGGTGTTAAGCCACCCTTCCAGGTAAATTCGGGCCCTAATTACTTTTGGAAATACCGTTCGTTCCCAATATTTTTGTTCGTTACTTAAGTGTATTAATGGTATGTTGTATGGTAGTCGAAGGGACGTTATCCTATTATTTTTCATCCTGAGTGTGCATTGAAAGCATTTAAAGCGATACAGGTGTGTCAATATGTGGAAGATAACTCAAATTAATTTATGGATTAAACCTTTTCTTGATCTTATTCTTCAAGAACGAACTGTATTTTGCCGCGCCTGCTCTAAACCAATAAGTATTTTTACATCTGTGGACGTAGTTTTTCTATTTCCAAATACATACTTTAGAATCACCGGAAAAACTTTTTGTTAGAATATTTCCAAAAATATTTAAAAATAAATTGGTGCCAAAATAGTAATTAAATAGTAGATTACTACTATTTTTTTTACATCTGTGGACGTAGTTTTTCAATTTACAAATAGATACTTTAGAATCACCGGAGAAACTTTTTGTTAGAATATTTCGAAAAATATTTAAAAATAAATTGTTGTCAAAATAGTAATTAAATAGTCGATTACTACTATTTTTTAATTCGTTCTGTTTACCTATATTTATTTTTAGTATAAAAATTGTATCTTTAAAAATATGATATGTGTACCAGTGAGATCTAATTAAACACTTTACAATATGATTTATGTATTTTTTTTTTTTATAAAGGGTAAGCACGAGAAACCTGTTTTTGTAATTTCTAAATAAATTTAGTTCGGTTATTACGCTCTCTTTTTAATTTTTGGAGCATATGCAACTGCATATCTCTGCATATATTAAGAAATTTACTGCATATTTGGAGAAATTTGATGCATATCATATGATCATATTTCCCAAAATTTTGCTGCATATTTTCCGCTCTCTAATTATTACTTTCGGTAGAACCGGAAATGTCAACTTTTTTTGGAACACTGGATATATTTTTTCATAAATCGAAGGCTTAATTTTTTGTAAAAAATCAGTAGCAACCAATATTCTAAAATCAATACTTAAAAAGTTATTCAATAAAATTGATGAAAAATTCGTATTTATTGACGACAATCTAGTAGCTTGAAAAATTAAAAAACTATATGTTTATCCTTAAAAACAAAAAAAAAAAAATACAGGGGTTATCAAATAAAAGAAACACGTGGTTAATGAAACAGGCCTTATTTTTTACTCCGGTTGTCAAGAAAAAAAATTATTTTTTGTGTGTGTGTTGTGTTTTATTTTCTTTTTGTCATCTGCGGTTTTCGGTTTTTATTTGGTCACTTTTTTCAACTCTTTTTTGTGGCTGTTTGTTGTTGCCTTTTGTTTGTCACGTTTTTTTTTTTTCGATGTTTTCTGTCTCTTTTTTTGGTGACTTTTTTCACCTTTTTGACGACTTTTTCGATTTTTTATTTGGTGTTTTTATAGCCATTTTGTGGTCTCTTTGTTTTATCTTTTTTTGTCATTTTTTGTTTCTTGTTGCATTTTTCAACTCTTTTTTGTCACAATTTTTCGTGGCTTTTTTTGACATTATTTGATGTCCTTTTTTTAGCTCCTTTTTTGTCTCGTTTTTTCGCTTTTTGTTTGGCCGCTTTTTGTGTCTTTTTAGCGGATTTTTTTTCATCTCTTTTGTTCCAATTTTTTGTCGCAATTTCTTTGTCACGTTTTTCTGTGTGTTTTTTTTTCGGTTTTTTTGGTCACAATTTTGTTTTGTTGCTGTAATTTCTGCTGCATTTTTATTCTTATCGTTTTTTTTTCGGTTTTTTATTTCCTTCGCACTTTTTTTATCACCTTTTAGACGACTTTTTTCGTTTTTTTGTCACCGTTTTGTATTGAGAAATGAAAATGAATCAAAATCGAAATAACGAAAAGTTAAAAATTCAAAATCGAAAAATTTTAAACTGACGAATTCAAAGATTAAAAAATCAAAAATTTAGAAAAATTGAAAAGACCAAAATATTTAAAACCAAGAAGTCCAAAAATCGCGCCACCATAAAACCGAAAAATCTAAAATTTAAAAATTCAAAAAACCGAAAAATAGAAATATCGAATAACTGAAGAATCGAGAAATCGAAAAATCTATGATTTTAATAATTAAAAAAAATCGCAAAATCTAAAAATCGAGAAATCGAAACATCAAAAAAATTGAAAAATCCATGTTCAAAAATCCCAAAACTGAAATTTATAAAAACGGAAGAAAAATTGAAACATCGAAATCTTAATAAATCAAGAAGTAAAAAAATTGAAAACTGGAAAAAATGGAAAATCGAAAAATTTGAAACTGACGAATTCAAAAATTGAAAAATTAAAAATTTAAAAGTCTAAAAATTGAGACAACCAAAATATTTAAAACCAAGATCCAAAAATCGCACCATCAAAAAACTGAAAAATCTACCGAAAAGTTGAAAAGTTCGAGAAATTAAAAAATTCAAAAAATCAATCGAGAAATAAAAAAATTGAAGATTTGAAAATCAAAAGTTGAAAAACCATAAAATGGAAAAATTCAAAAATCATACATCAGAAAATTGAGAAACGAAAAATTAAAAAACAAGAAATCGAACATTTACAGAATAAAAAAAAATGAAGAATTGAAAAATAGAAAAATCCCAGGAATGATATATTGAAAATCCGAAAATTCGAAAAATTGTTATATCCACATTTTGAGTTTTTTCTCAGTTCAGTTCTGTTACTTTTTCACATTTATTCGCCAATTGAAAATCCGAAAATTCAAAAATTTACCATGCTTCCGATAGCCTTAAAAACTCCCACTTTTTTCCGCTCTTTTGTCGTTTTTTGTCCTTTTTTACCTCTTTTATTTTGTCTTTTTTTCATCGTTTTTTTTTGCTTTTTCTCCTTTCTGTTGTCATCCCTTATTTACTTACTTTTTGCGTTTTTTGTTCGGTATTTTTTGTCACTGTGTTTTGGTCTTTTTGTCTCTTCATTTGCCGATTTGTGTTATCTTCTTTTATCAACTTTTTTTTGTGACTGTTTGACACCTTTTTTTAGTCCCCTCTGTGTCATCTTTTTTATTTTTTTCACTAATTCTTTTGTTACTATTTTGTCGGTTTTACATCTCTTTCCGCCACGTTTTTTACTTTTTTGTGACTGTTTCACTGTGATTTATTAGTCATCTTTTTTGTTAGCTTTTTTGTGTTTTATTCGACTGGTCGATTTTTCGTAGTCCTCTTATGCCTTTTTTTGCCTTTTTGTTTTCTCTCTTTTTTTTATAAATTTTTTATAGTTCTTTTATGCGACTGTTCGACTCTCTTTTTTGTCTTATTTTTTCTCATTTGGACTAATTTTTTTTAACTTTTTTTTGTGACAGACTTCGTCTTTTTTTGTCATCTTTTTTTCAGGTTTTTTTCGCTTTTTTGTCGTTTTATGGTTTCTTTGCCGCACTTTTTGTCTTTTGTCAACTTTTTATAGCATATTTTTTGTGCTTGACTCCCTTTTATTAGTAATCATTTTTGTCGCGTTTTTATGTTTTTCTTTCCGTTTTTTTTGTCACTATTTTTTCAAACTTTTTCTCTATTTTTGCCGCATTTCTTTCATCTCTTTTTTGTTTCAGTTTTTTGTGTTTGCTTGACTTCCTTTTTTAGTCGCACATTTTTGTAATTTTTTTCGTTGCCTTTTCTTTGTCACAATTTTGTTGTTTTTTTGTCTCCTTTATTGTATCGCTTTTGTCCTCTCTTTTATCGCCTTTTTGTTGTGGTCCCTTTTTGATTCCCTTTTTGTTTTTTTTTGTTCAGTTTTTTAATCGCTATGTTATGGTTTTTGCCTCTTTTTTGCCGTTTTCTTTTATCTATTTTTTATGGACTTTTTTGTCGCCCATTTTCTCGCCATTTTGTCTCCTTTGGCGCATTCTTTATGTCTTTGGTCGATCTTTTCTTTAATTTTTTTTTACTTTTTTTGTGCCTCTATTTTGTGGTCTCTTGTCTCTTTTGTCGCATTGTTTTAGCATTTTTTTATCTACTTTTTTCTCGCACTTTTCTTGTAGCCATATTATGTAACCGTTTTTTCATCACCTTTTTGCGTTTTTTGCCGTATTTTTTGTCGTTTTTAAAAAATTCTGTGGTATGTTTGACATTTTTCTTTTTTCTCATTTTTTTCCCGCATTTTGTTTGACTCCCTTTTTTAGTCGCTTTTCTGTCATCTTTTTTGTCGTGTTTTTTCGGTCTTTGTGTCTCTATTTTGTCATCTTTTTATTTTCTCTTTATAGTTTTATTCGGGTTTTGTCCATTTTGTTGTTTTTTATCGCTTTTCTTTTCTATTTTTGTCCTTTTTATTCTCCTTGCTAAAAAGTTGATGGGGTCATCCCAAAATTTTGTTATGAAAAACTCACTTGGAACATACATATTATATTTCTTTATCTCTAGTTTGACAATTCACGCATATCCTTTTTTTAAGAAATTCTATAACGTATATAGGAGATTGGATTTGATATACTTCAGGGGCGAGAGAAGTTCAGTGTAATAACTTTAGATCATCAATCACAAATTTGAAAGGCCGACTATTTGATTTCTTTAGGTTCACACCCTATTTGGCGAAATAAATACAAATAAATAAAAATTGGGTTAAGTTGAAAAAAATCAAAATTGTACAACACGTGTTATAATTTAAATAACAAACTACAAACCAACAGTTGCGAATTAAGGTAATCGTAAATATGGTAAATCGTAATAAAAATGTATCTCTTAATCCCTTCCAAAAGTTTGATGACATCTCTAAATTTTATTAAGCATATAAGTGCTGTCCAAATTGCACACAAGATTATAGGTTTACACTTGTGGTTTTTTAATGTACCCACTTTTTTAGAATTGTCTATACAGGATGTTTGAAAAAAATCATAAATGAAGAAGCAATGTGTTATTGATTGAAGCAAAAACGTCTTATCTTATTTTTTCGTTCTGACTGTACCTTTCCTAATTGTTATAGTTATTTTTTTCCCACCAGATATCTATTGTCATATGATTAATTTCTAAATTTACTTTTGATAATAAAACTTTTTAAATATCTTCTTTCATACCTCGATTTCATGATCCTTTTTTTCTTGCAGGCAAACCCCACGAAATCATCAGCACATACACCGAAGCTGTCCAGACCGTGGACCCCAAATTAGCAGTCGGCAAACTCCACACCCTCTGGGTAGAATTCGCAAAATTCTACGAAAAAAACGACCAAATAGAAGACAGTCGCTTAATTTTCGAGAAAGCCACCCAAGTGGCCTACGTGAAAGTAGACGATTTAGCAGCCGTATGGTGCGAATGGGCCGAAATGGAAATCCGCAGCGAAAATTACGAACAAGCCCTCAAACTAATGCACAAAGCCAGCACCATGCCGTCACGAAAAGTAGCCTACCACGACGACACAGAAACAGTCCAAGCCCGACTATATAAATCCTTGAAAGTGTGGTCGATGTACGCCGATTTGGAAGAAAGCTTTGGGACCTTTAAATCTTGCAAGGCGGTCTACGACAGAATAATCGATTTGAAGATCGCCACGCCCCAAATTATAATCAATTACGGGCTGTTTTTGGAAGAAAACAACTACTTCGAAGAAGCGTTCAGAGCGTACGAGAAAGGAATTTCGTTGTTCAAGTGGCCGAACGTTTACGATATTTGGAACACCTACCTGACGAAATTCTTGAAGAGGTATGGTGGAAGTAAGTTGGAACGAGCTAGAGACCTGTTCGAGCAGTGCCTCGAAAAGTGCCCCCCTCAATTCGCGAAGTCCCTATACCTTATGTATGCGAAGCTGGAAGAAGAACACGGGATGGCCCGACACGCTATGGCTGTCTACGAACGCGCCACCAGCGCCGTCCCTCAAGAACAAATGTTCGACGTCTTCAACATCTACATCAAGAGGGCTGCAGAGATCTACGGCATTCCAAAAACGAGACAGATCTACGAAAAAGCCATCGAAGTACTACCCGAGGACAAAACTCGGGAGATGTGCGTCAGATTTGCCGACATGGAGACGAAGTTGGGCGAGATTGATCGAGCCCGGGCCATCTACTCGCACTGTAGCCAGATTTGTGATCCTAGAGTAACCACGGAGTTCTGGCAGATCTGGAAGGAGTTCGAAGTCAGACACGGGAACGAGGACACGATGAGGGAGATGTTGAGGATTAAGAGGAGTGTCCAGGCTATGTACAATACGCAAGTTAACATGATGTCGGCGCAGATGTTGAGTTCGGCGGGTTCGATTGCTGGGACTGTGGCCGATTTGGCTCCGGGTGTTAAGGACGGGATGCGACTTCTTGAAGCGAAAGCGGCTGAGATGGCCGGCACTTCGGTGGGTAAACCGGGAAATATTATGTTCGTGAGGGGAGAAACGCAAGGGGATAATAAGGATAAGGTGGTTAATCCAGACGAGATTGATATTGGGGATGAGGATGATGAGAACGAGGAGGATGAAGGTGAAGATGTACCGGTGGAAAAGCAGAGTATTCCGGCGGAAGTTTTCGGCGGGCTTAAGAAAGGGGATGATAAAATGGAGGACGATGAATAGAATATTTTGCTGTTTTAAGATAGTGTATTAAGTGAATAAAAGGTAATATTTGCTATAACAAAATCCATTCCGCAACCCATATTGTCAGTTAGTTAATTACACATTTTTTATCTTTACTTCCCGAGCGTAGGCTAAAGAAGCATTGTAATCGAGTCCATCGGGTGACTGCTATTTCATGTTTTCTCGACGTTTCATGATCCCTTGAGACCGATAAAATGGGTCTCCTTTTTTCGTCTGCCAAACAGATAATCTCCGGACCGATTGTTGTAAAATTTTGTTGTGTGTGGATGGTAAAACGCTAATCAAAATTTCTCTGCTCATCTCCAACAATGGAATGACAATAATTTTACAATAGTAGATGTTATTTAAATTTTATAAAATAGCGTACTCCTCCATTTGTGGTTTGAGGTTTACACCAGACATCCAGATTTTTGAAAAAAAAAAACAAAATTGTTTAACAACATTTGACTTTAAAATTGCAAAATCTAATGCTTTGGCGGTTTGCAAACGTTTTAAGGTTATCCAAAGCATGGTAAATCGTTATTCAAAATTAATAGTCGTCTTATAATTTAAATGTTAAAAAGTAACATAGTCCTGAACTTGTTATGAATAATCCGTGTTGATTTTTTATCCTAGACATCGAAATTTTTAAAGAAAAAAGTCAAAATGTAGATATGACAATTTTTCGAAATTTCAGTTTTGATTTCTTGATTTTACAATTTTTCATTTTTTCCACTTCTCGATTGATTGATTTTTTTTATTTTTCCATTTGTCAATTTCTCGACTTGTCAGTTTTTCAATTCTTCAATTTTTTGATTTTTCAATTTTTCGATTTTTTAAGTTTTTGATTTCTCGATTTTTCTGTTTTTTAGTTTCTCAATTTCTCTTCCACTTTGAAATTTTTCGATATTTCAGTTTTGAGATTTTTCAATATGTTTTCATTCAATTTTTCGATTTTTCGTTTTCTCGATTTTTTAGTTTTTAAATTTTCGGTTTTGGAGTTTTAACTTTTGGATTTTTCAGTTTTTCAATTTTTTGATATTTTAATGTTTCTAACTCTCGATTTTCAATCCTTCGATATTTCTCTTTCTTTTGAATTTCAACTTCTCGCTTTTAGATTTTGCGCTTTTTCCGTTTTTCGATTTTTAAAATTTGAAATTTTTTATTTTTACTTCCCGAGCGTAAGCTAAGGAAGCATTGTAATTGAGTCCATCGGGCGATTGCTACTTCATGTTTTCTCGACGTTTCATGATCCCTAGAGAACGAAAAATGGGTCTCCCTTTTACGTTTGCCAGACGGATAATCTCTGGACCGATTGTTGTCAAATTTTGTTGTGTGTAGATGGTAAAACGCTAATCAAAATTTCTCTGCTCATCTCCAACAATGGAATGACAATAATTTACAATAGTAGATTTTAATGTTAAATGTTAAAAAGTTACATAGTCCTGAACGTGTCGTTTATGAATAATTCGTGTTGATTTTTTGTCCCAGACATCGAGATTTTTGGACAAAAAAGTCAAAACATAGATATGACAATGTTTCGATATTTTAGTTTTGGGATTTTTCAGTTTTTTTTTTAATTTTTCAATTTCTCGTTTTTCAGTTTTTTGATTTCTTGATTTTACAATGTTTCAGTTTTAGATTTTTCATTCTTACTTCTCAGTTTTTCGATTTTTTAATTTTTGATTTCAAATTTTTCCGATTGATTGATTTTTTTATTTTTTCATTTGTCAATTTCTTGACTTACCAGTTTTTCAATTCTTCAATTTTTTGATTTTTTAGGTTTTTGATTTATCAATTTTTCGATTTTTGGAGTTTTTGATTTCTCGATTTTTCTGTTTTTTAGTTTCTCAATTTTTCTTCCAGTTTTGAGATTTTTTCAATATACATTTTCATTCAATTTTTCGATTTCTCTATTTTTATTTTTTAGATTTTTTAATTTTTCGATTTTTTAATGTTTCTAAACTCTCGATTTTCAATTATTTGAAATTTTTGACTTTTCACTTTTTGATTTTCAAATTTTTAATTTTTCAATTCTCTCGGTCTTTTGATGTTTCAATTTCCCGATGGTTCAGTTTTTGAATTTTTCGATTTTTCAATTTTTTGATTTTCAATTATTGCGGTCTTTAAATCTTGAATTTTCGATTTCCCGATTCTTAGATTTTTTATTTTTTCAATTTTTTGATGTTTCGATTTCTTTATTTTTTAAATTCTCATTTCGTCAATTTTTCGATATTTTAATTTTTTAATTTTTTAAAATTTAGGTTTTTTGATTTCTCGATTTTACGATTTTTTCAATTCTTCGAATTTTTAAATTTTTGACTTTTCGGTTTTTTGATTTTTTATGTTTTGCGATGTTTGAAATTTTTCGATAATTTAATTTTTCGATTTTTGATGTTTCAATTGCAAATCTTTTGATTTTCGACTTTTCGAATTTCGGTTTTTCAGTTTTTCAATTTTTAATTTTTCGATTTTTAAGTTTTCCGATTTTTTAATTTTTCAATTTCTCGATTTATCGAAGTTTCGTTGTACGGATTTTTTTACTGTTCATTTTCTCGATTTTTCAATTTTTAACTTTTCGAGCTTAGCACATTTCGATTTTTAAAATTTTTCGACTTATCGATTTCTTGATCTACTGATGTTTCCAATTTTTAGATTTTTCAATTTTTCAGTGTTTCAATTTTTCAATGCTTCGTTTCCCCAATTTTTCGTCATTTCGGTTTTGGACTTTTGCAATGTCTCGATTTTTCAGTTTTTCAGTTTCAATTTTTCGATTTTCAATTTTTGCGGTTTTTAAATATTGAATTTCCGATTTCTGGGTTTTTCATTTGTGCGACTTGTCGATTTTTCGCGTGTTCGATTTTCAAGTCTTTAATTTTTGATTTTATCGAATTTTTGATATTTTGATGTTTCGATTTCTCGATTTTTTAAATTTTCGATTCCTCAATTTTTCGATGTTCTCAGTTTTTTTAAATTTTAGGTTTTTCGATTTCTCGATTTTACAATTTTTCAATTGTTTCATTTTTCGAATTTTTAAATTTTTGATTTTCCAGTTTTTTTTCCAATTTTTCAATTTTTTACGTTTTGCGATGTTTTAAATTTTTCGATAATAATTTAATTTTCCGATTTTTGATGTTTCAATTGCCGACCTTTTGATTTTCGACCTTTCAGATTTCGATTTTTCAAATTTTTCGATTTTTTTAAGTTATAATTTTTCGATTTTTCAAGTTTTCGATTTATTGAAGTTTTGATGTATGGTTTTTTTACTGTTCATTTTCTCGATTTTTCATTTTTTAACTTTTCGAGTTTGGCGTATTTCGTTTTTTCAATTTCTCGATTCTCTGATGTTTCAGTTTATCGATGGTTTGGGTTTTCAAATTGTAGATTTTCCAATTTTTCAATGTTTCGATTTTTCAATGCTTCGTTTTCCCAATTTTTCGTCATTTCGATTTTGACTTTTTCAATTTCTCGATTTTTCAGTTTTTCGAATTTTCATTTTTTTATTTAGGTATTCAATTTTTCGATTTTAAATATTGAATTTCTGATTTCTCGGGTTTTCGTCATTTCAACTTGGCGATTTTTCACTTTTTCGTTAAGTCCTGGATTTTTTTTTCGAATTTTCGACATTTTGATGTTTCGATTTCTCGATTTTTAAAAATTTTTGACTTCAGTTTTTGATTTTTTAATTTTTGATTGTTTACGTTTACGATTTTTCAATTTCTCAATTCCTTGACGTCTCGGTTTTGCGATTTTTTAAGTTTTGGATTTATTGATTTTTCGGTTTTTTGGACTCCTCAATTTTTGGGCTTTTCAATTTTTGATTTCTAAATTTTTCCATTTTTCAATTTCTCCAATAATTGATTTTTTGATTTTTCCATTTATCGATTTCTCGACTTTTCAGTTTTGCAGTTCTTCAATTTTTTTAAATTTTCAAGTATTTGGTGTTTCAGTTTTTCGAATTTTTAAGTTTTCATTTCTCGATTTTTCAATTTTTCGGTTTCTCAATTTTTCTTTCATTTTTAAATTTTTCTATATTTCAGGTTTTTTTGATTTCTCGATTTCTTGGTTATTCGTTTTTTCGACTTGTCGGTTTTAAGTCTTAAATTTTTGATTTTTCAATTTTGATTTTTAAATTTTTTGATTTTTTATGTTTTTCGATGTTTTAGATTTTTCGATATTTTAATTTTTCGATTTTGAAGTCTTGGATTTTTGATTTTTTCGCATTTTCGATATTTTGATGTTTCGATTTCTCGATTTTTAAAATTTTTGATTCTTCAATTTAATTTTTTAAGTTTTAGTTTTTCGATTTCTCGATTTTTACGAATTTTCAGCTCTTCGATAGTTCTATTTTTCGAATCTTTAAATTTTTGGCTTCAGTTTTTGATTTTTAACGTTTACGATTTTTCAATTTTTCGATTTCTTGACATGTCGGTTTTCGGTTTTTAGATTTTCCAATTTTTCAATATTTCGAAGATCCAATGTTTCGTTTTCACAATTTTTCGTCATTTCAGTTTGGGAATTTTTCAGTGTTTCTATTTTTCAGTTTTTCGAATTTTCAATTTTTCAATTATTTAATTTTTCGGCTTTTCAATTTTTGATTTCTAAATTTTTCCATTTCTCAATTTCCCGATTAATTGATTTTTTAATTTTTCCATTCATCGATTTCTCGACTTTTCAGTTTTGCAGTTGTTCAATTTTTTTACTTTTCAATTTTTCGATTTCTCAATTTTTCTTTCATTTTTCAAATTTTCGATTTCTTGGTATTTCGAATTTTCGACTTGTCGATTTTTCAGTTTTACGATTTTTAAGTCTTAGATTTTGGATTTTTTGATGTTTGGATTTCTCGATTTTTTAAATTTTCGATTCTTTAGTTTTTCGAAACTAAAATTTTTCAGTTTTTTAAATTTTAGTTTTTTCGAATTTTTAAACTTTTGACTCCTCAGTTTTTCATTTTTTGATTTTTTACATTTTTGATTTTACAATTTTTCGATGTCTTGACGTTTCGGTTTTGTGATTTTTAAATCTTGGTGGAAAGTTATATATGGAAACGTTGAGACGGTTATTTTTAGCTATTAAGCAATGTGTTAGTTACAATATTTTTTCGATGATCGAAATCTTGAAAAAAATAGAAAATAAAAAAGTCATGCAACCAAATATACATCTCGTCTTTCCATTTCTTATTAAGTTTTTTCCGTAACTTCATCAACATTCTGAACGGTTTATGACTGCCTGAGTCAGTTAATAAATTCCAATAAAAATGAAACCCGCCTTAAAATTTTGGCATAAACAAGTGTGTACAAAAGCAAAATTTTGCTTATATTTGGTCAATGCGGAATATCGAAACTTATGTCAGTAAACGCAAAATATATATAATTAAACAACCTTTGTAATGCGTATCGATTTATTCGAAATTTACTCTGATGCATAGTCAATATTAGTAGACTGTTATCCAAAATAACCAGAAATTATTAACTTAAACAATACTTTCACCTCCATAAATACCATAGAAATCCATGTTTGCTCAACACGAAATTCCGAACATTTTTTGTTATTATTAACAAAGCAAGTAATTAAGTTGTAAATAATTTTGTTTTGCTAATAACACGTGAAATCAGCATAGCATTTTTAAATTTCCCAAATTTTTGACAATTTAAAACGCTTGCTGTTTTGCTGGTTAGTATTTAGTTGGCTATTGTACCGCTGGGATCGCTGGATGCGTGCTGCCAATTTAGTTGCCAATCGTTAAAAAGCGAATTTAATTGTCGCGTCTTGATTGGAGCGTTTTGTGTTTTTAAGTGTGGTGGGAGTAGCGACGAAGACTTATTTACAATAACCTATTTCAGTATTTTCAGCTGTGTTCACTACAAATAGGATAAACCGGGATAACCTTAAAGGACTGTGTTTTCACGGTCCACAAAAATGGATTCTAGTTCCAAATTGTCCCAATTAAAGCAGTTGCATAAAGTAGCTTCTTGGACGCACAAAGTGGGTGTCAATGTTGGTTCAGGCGAATTTCTAGCTAACATTGCGGTTGAAGACAAACACATGTACATATATCCTGAAGAACCGAACAGGAGCGAAATCTTTATCGAAATTTCCAGTATCGAAGGAGGACATGAAGAGCAAGAAGCTGACATTCTTGTGTTACAACTTGATCGGCGGTGGCAATTTCGATTCGCAGAACCTGGGTCCAGGGCAGTATTCTTAAGAATACTTGGACTAAGAAACTCTTATAAGCCATCTGATGACGAATGTTATAAGCCGTCGCAAGGTAAATGGAAAAAGTGGAAAAAACGTACACGGGTGCCTTCTTTACCAACTCCAACAGTGGAGGTTGAGGATACCAATTCTAAAGTTAGCGTATATCAGGTGATACATCCAGAGGCTCATGTGATGCACAAAGTGGGTGTGACGCTGGACGATATTATTGGTGGAAACGAATATGATGCTGAAATTGCGATTGACATTGAAATTAACAAAATATTCATATATTCGATTCTTGGAGACAGGATGCAAACCTACATTGAAACTTCAGAGATGGAAGGATATGAGGAGCAACAAATTGGCAGCATTATGCTGAAAGTTAGTAGGCCATGCCAATTCCGATTCACAGAGCCCTTGCATAGGTCAACGTTCCTAAGCATACTTGGATTTGTTAAGTAAGAAAATGTAGCCACAGTAACCAATTTGTGATATATTTATATTAAATAATGTTTTTTTTTTGTAGTAGAGATAACTCAGGACCATCATCTCATTTACCGTCACCATCCTCACTAGAAAAGTAATAATAGGTTTGCTACAATGACCATAAGAAAATGGCCCCGAAACGTCCAACATCATTTATGAACATGTCTTGAATTGTGGAAGTGTGAAGCTAAACAATTTTGATCTTTTTTTGCAATTTTTTGCGTAAGATTGTTTTTTTTTTTTGTTATTAATGAAACGAATGTGTTCACATCAGTGGTAGTTTATAGCAATTTTATACTATTTTGTACAAAACTTTTTGCTTTAGTTTTGAAAAAATATAATATAGTTTATATCCAACAATTTTATCAGTTATAAGTGTCATGTGACTATTTGTAATTACAAAAATAAAGTAGTTTTAACAAGCTGCAACTTGTTTATTTTGTTTAGTTTTTGTTGACGGAATACACGCTATTAAAGCTAAAATTTAGTCATGGAGTTAATGACGTCATCGCCGTGAAGATTTCATATTGATTTATGCGCCTGTTTTACTAAGAAAAAAACAATCCGTCGTCTAGAAGTAGTATGCAATCAGTATTGACGTTATGCAACTCAATTATATTATATGGATACGCTGTGTATGTGCAATGCATAAGTAAATAAATATCAGTTTCTATTCTAACATTTGTTCATTGTAGACTTGGCTTTTATTTTAAAATTTGATAAAATAAACTAAATTTTTGTATATGCAACCAACAATACCATAGAAAGTGATAATACAAGATGAACGTATTTATATTTGCTGTCTATTCTTCTATCAACATGTGCCGCTTGACTATTGTTGATTGAAGCAAATTTTTGCGTCAGTAATCGTGAATTATTAACAGCCATGCGAGAATGTCAGTTCACAGTTGTCCATTCTGACATGAACACGCCTAACAAAATTGTTGTTTGGCTGAGAGGATGACACCTGTCATAAATGTCACTTTGACAATCAGGTACGCCACCATAAAATTTTATATATGCTCACAACATACCTTCAGCACAGAATAATCATTTCTCCTATTCTTTTGACATATTAATTTTAGTATTCGAGATAATTATTATATTATTCAAACACAATTTAGACACTGTAGAGCAAACAAGGCTTATCAAGCCCGTCTATTAGTTTATTCGCCTAAATGTATTATTGATACCGTTTTCAAATTACACCAAAATTGAAAAATCGAAAACTTAATAATTGAAAAATTGAAACATTTTAAATGAAAAAAATCGGTAAACTGAAAAATTGAAAAATCTATAAATCGAGAAATTGAACAACCTAAAAATTAAACAATTTAAAAATCGAAGAATTGGAAAACCAAAAAATCTAAACCGAGAACGTGCAAAATCGAATAATCGAGAAATCAAAGCATCAAGGAAAACAAAAAAATTAACGGAAAATCTAGAACTTAAAAATTGAAAAATTAAAATACCTATCGAAAAGTGAAAAAATTCAAAACTGAAATCTTGAAAAACTGAAAAATGGAAAGAAAATTGAAGAATCGGAAAAGTGATAAAATCCAAAACTGAAACATTGAAAAATTTAGAAATCGAAAAATTGAAAAATCACAATTGAAGAAACAATTGATAAATCAAGAAATAGAGAAATGGGAAAATCAAAAAATCAGTTAATCGAAAAATCGAAAAATTTAGAAACGCAAAAATTGAAAACTGAAAAATAAAAAAAATTAAAAATCGTAAAACTCAAATATCGGAAAATTGAGAAATCGAAAAATGAAGAAATTCGAGAAACCGAAAATATGAAGAATCGAGAAATCGAAGAATCGATAAATTGAAAAATCCCAATAGTAATATGTCGAAAAATTGAGAAATCGAAATCGAGCAAAACTGAAGCATCGTAAAGTCAATAAATTGAAAAACTGAAAATTTTTGAAAAAAAATCGTATCAAAAACTAAAAATTCAAAAAATCGAGAAATTGAACAATCAAAAACTCAAAACATTGAAATCCCAGTAAGTTGATAAATAGGAAAATTTAAATAACAAAAATTTTTAAAATCCAAGAATTGAACAACAAAAAAAATCTAAGCCTGAAAACTCAGAAAATCGAATGATCGAGAACTCAAAACATCAAAGAAAACAAAAAATCTAAAATTTAAAAATTCGACAAATTGAAAAATCATGGAACTGAAAAATCGAAAAGTCGAGATAGTGAGAAATCTAAAAACCTAAAACTTTAAAAACTGAAAAATTAAAATATCGAAAAATTTAAAAACCTAGAAAACACAATATCAAAAATTTGAAAAATTGAAGAAACGAAATATTGCAAAATTCCAAAGCTGAAATATTGAAAAACCTAAAAATGGAAGAAAAATTAAAGAATCGAAACAGTGAAAAAATCCCAAACTGAAACATTGAAAAATTGAGAAATGGAGAAATGGGAAAATCAAAAAATTGGTCTAAAGAGTTTAGACAGTACTTCCCTCGCTATCGGAAACGTGATGACTGCCTATTATGTTTTTTTTTCACATTAGATTTCAAAGCATTCGGTTTTGTAGTTCCTGATTAAATCAATAAAATAAACTTGCGCATTCATTAAATTTTTTGTGTCACCCTGTATATCCGAGTCCAAAAAATATGAATGGAATGATAAATTACAAGAAGAGACTCATCATATTTTGTACATTTTAGATAGGATTTATTCAGCAAAATTTTGTTATGACGTCGTCAATTTTTTAGAGGGGATAAGTAAATATATTGTGATTAAAACGGTCCTGGTTTAATAACAAAAAAATATTGTTCGTCTATGAAACAAGCTCGTCTTAGACAAAGTATTCGTAAAAAAATATGTCGTAAAAAAATGTACGTCTCCTGGTCCCGACTGCGATTATGGTTTAAATATTTTTTAGAAAAGCCTGTCATGGATGTAGAAACATTTGTGACAGCCAAAGAGGTTTTTTTAAGAAAATTATCTTTGAATTTAGACCAAATTGAAATAGACACTAGGCAACAGGCACATTTGGGCAAAATAAAGAGAAATTAGGGCTACGGCTTCAAATTTTGGACGTATTTACAAACTTAGACCGACTACAGCAATAGCTAAAACTGTGGAGTCTCTGTTGTACAGTACATTTAGAGGTAATAGTCATACATGCTATGGACAGCAAAGTGAGGAAAAAGCTGTCAAGTGTTTTGAAATAAATAAAAATATAAAAACTGAACGGTGTGGCTTGTTTATTTCAAAACAATTTCCTTACTTGGCTGCTAGTCCAGACAGGGTTCTAGGGGATAGGAGTGCATTAGTCGAAATTAAATGCCCTTCAAAATCGCAAGATTTGTCTCGCGAAGAAGCGGTTAAAAAAAAAATAATCAAATTTTGTACATTGACACACAGAAAATTGAAACTAAAAAAAATCATGATTACTACTTTCAAGTCCAGGGACAAATGCTTCTTACGGGTATTTCACAAGTTTATTTTGTTGTGTGGACACCCAAAGGAATAAATATAGAACAAATTTATAAAGACGAAGAAATATATGTAAAAAGATGGCAGATAAACTTGGCAGAATTTACTTTGGTGCATTATTGCCCGAAATAATTGATTCAAGAAGAAAGAGGAACCTGCCTTTGCGAGAGATTTTTTTAAAATAAATAAAATTTGTTTCTATTTTTTTATGTACTTTAATAATTTATTAGGAGTACATTTTTCATCACCAAGACTTGCGTATTTTTATTATAAATATATTTTGAATATGATCTCTCGGTAAATGAAAACATATACGAACACTTTTTTCGAGTAAATAATGAAGGGAGAAGTTACTGGGCGTAGGGCTTTTTTAAAACACCTCCTTTCTGGGATAAGTAGTAGATACACTTAGCTACTTATACGTGTTAAACAAAAGCTGTATTTTATATATTTTTTATTATTATTATAAATATGTTTATTAGTTTTATTAATTAATAAAGCAAAATATATATTAACAATAATATTAGAATTAATTTTTAGTAATCATGTGTATTGAATTCAGGATCCTGAGTGGAGTAAAAATATTACAGTTCCCCAGTTTTAATTCGGTTTTATGATAGTACCTCATCGCGTAAAAGTTAATTTCCTTAACAATAGATTACTACGGCCGGTCCTGGCGGCTTGTTATAAAACTGAGTTCCTTGCCATAAATTAGAAAAATCAGTCTAGAACTCTAACAATCAGCTTATGGTAGAGCAGGCTATAAGGGTTTTACCTGGAAAGTCGCTTCCGTAAATTTTAGTGGCGCTCCTATCGGCAAAGTACTGAACTAACTGCTCAAATTCTGTAGAATTGATACCCATGTTTTTCAATAATTGTTAGTTTTTATTAAAAACTCTGCTAACCAATAGATCATTAATTTTCCTCTGATATTCCTGTTAAAATTATTCGACGTATTTTATATTAATTTGTGATATATTTTGATTTTAATAAACACATTATTATTTAAACAAACTGTACCACTAACAAACATTTAATGACTCTGCGCCCTGTAAAAAGTGATGTTTTATCCCTGTGCGAATTTTCAAGCGATTCTATGATGGTTAGGACTCAAAAAACTTGAAAAGAAAACATAAAATGGTGCTTTTTTACGATATTTCTCTGCACTCTAGAATATGAAAAAAGCTGCAGTTTGATGTACGATACATCTATATTAATATCATTTTTTCGTACAAAAAACCAAAAAAATATTATACCTCGTCTAGCGAGTCCCCTTAAATAGGGCATTCTACGCAAAGCTAAAGTAGATGTCGCCACCACCGAAGGGGCACGAATTTGTAACCAAAGGTTGGCAATGCCAAATTGACATTTGTGTTGTGGTGACGGAATTTAAATCAAAGTTTTCGCGCTGAAATAAATTAACAGCGGCGCGAAATCACAGACAATCAGAGACAAAAGGGCGGCGTGGCGTAGCGTCATTCTGAAGGTGCTTGTGTGAGTGTAACCACGTGGTAAGAGCTAGTTTAAATTAGTTGGTTTGGTAGTTAATAAAATGGAAGCCTTTGTTTAACGTCAACCAATCGTAGCAAACGCCACTCAGGTGTCCCCAACCCGCGCGGTTCATTCTTGCGGCCTCTTAATCGGAAAATGAGGACTTCCGGTCAACGCGAAACACGTGCTGTAAATTTGTTTCATTACTTGTACATTTACCAATCAAGTTAGTTTTTCTTAATAGTCAGCTAGTGCACAGTTTAACAATCAGGATTATTTAAATAAACCACTTGCTAGAAGATTCCATGAAATTCACTTAGTCAGGAAACACCTTATTGTTTAATTACGAATAAGTTTCTGGATGCATATACGTAAGTGTTACATTATAACACTTCTTAATTCTTCACACAAGATTGCTAATA